ATATATATATATATATATATATATATATCCCTGTCTTTATCTATGTAGATCACAAGATCCCCACAGTACGCGCTGCATCCACAAGACGCTGCCGCACTCGTGTGATGACCACAGTGAACGGACTCGTGGGCCCGTGTGTCAACACACAGTTATCAACCATGTGCTCCAACACATCACGCAATGCAATGAAGGCATCACGGTTAGTTTTAATACCAAATGAAGGAGAATGCAACCATAATTCTATACTCCTTAAATCAATATTCGCCATATCAAATACAGGATATTCAAAGTAATGATTAGTATCCACCTCCCGCAGTATTGGAAGTAGTTTCAAACACCGTCGTTGAGTCTCACTATAGGATGTACTCTCATCATTTGTAGGAAGTGGGTTAACATCAAACATAGTTCGTTCTACCAAGAGATCTTTTGTCGCCTCATCTACAAGGCCAATCTTACGTAGAAATATTCCATAATTACGTCTTAACGATTGTTCAAACTGTAAATGAAGAGAGTTAACGGCTACCTTATGCTCAGGACGTACTGCACAATAGAGTTCATAGAAAAGTAGTTTCATATCATGTAAGGCACTATAAAGACCACGAGAACGGTATACACCGTTTGTTGCTCTTAACATCATTTCTTCATAAGACATTAATGTTGAAACATTTGTTTTGCAAGTAGTTGTTTTCATTTTTAAAGTATCAAGAACTCGAGTACAATCCATACTTTTTATTTCTCGAAGTGTATTAAGAACAATACTTGTAGCGGCATTACTAACATGTTTACACTCATCCATACCACTTAAAGGATGTTTCAATTGTGATTTTTTATTATCTTCTTTTTGTAGAATTGTACAAGGCCATTTTTCAACATCAAACATTTGTGGTAACGCCTTTAAGACACCTCCAATATATGTTACTGGGAGTTGTGGAGCTCTATCAAGATTAACCACCATTTGTAATACAGTTGATTCAAATAAAGAAAGAGAAGCATCCACTCTACTTTCTGTAAGTTTAAGAGTATTAGCTGCTAATTGAGGATCAAAATTATGTTTACCACTTCCATTTTTTTGTTGTTGAAGTACATCTTCATATTCTAGTTTTAAAGCGCACACTGTGGTGTACACATCTGTGAGAGAAAAGGCGGGTGATAAGTTTTTCTTGTTAACTCCACTAGAGTTACTATTTACACTCCCACTATTACCAGTAACAGTACTGCTACTACTACCACTACTAACCTTATTAGAACCTTTAGGGGGACGTATTAATTCATTAGAAGTGAAGTAACGAGTTTCATCCTTGGCAGCAATATGACAAAGAATAGAGAGAGCAGATTGTAAAGAGGCCATTCGATGTGTTCGGTCATTAGAATCACCTGCAGTATGTAGATTATCCTGTGTATTTATTGTGCCATTATCACCATATTCAATGCATTTACGTATAAATGCCACTTTGGAAGGATCTGGTGTTCTTGAAGTTTGTATGGCCTTCTCACATCCCATCTCTCTACTTCTCTTACGGTAAAGCCGCAGTGTATCCATTGGAAATTCAAACCGCCTTACAGGAGGTTTATAACTCCTCTCAGGAAATATTGAATTCATTCTTTTTCTCAACAAACAAACAAAAATAATAATAATACACCACATTAGAGAGAGAGAGAGAGGCAAACAGAACAAAAAAAAAAAAAA